GGCGCCGGCGGCAGAAGCGCCGCCGCCGGCGGCAGGAGCAGGCACCAGCCCAGCGCTGCAACCGGTGCCAGCATAGCGCCGCGAGGCGTTACGCTGCACACTTTTTTTCTGACTGTAACTGACGCAGGTTGGACAGGCTGGCAGGCTGCACATCCTGGGGGGGCAGTCGGCAGGCGGAGCCCTGCCACACCAGAGCAGGTGCCATGTCATTACAGCAGAAGCAGGGGCAAGCACGCAGCAGGCAGCGCAAGCAAGCAGGGCGCCTCTCAAGGGTGCGGCATGGCTGAATCGGGAGCAGACGAGCAGAGCACGGAGATGTGTCAAGAGATGGCCACGCCGGCCGCCTGGCAATAGCCTGCCAGCTTCTGCTGCTGCTCCGGCGACAGCGCCGCCGCCACCAGCTGCGGCACGCGCCCCGGCTGCCCCGCCGCCATTTTGCCCAGCGCCTGCGCCACAACCGCCTTGGCGTCGGTGACCTCAGGAAGGGGGTCGTTCTCAGGTCTGCTCTCAAGGGGTGGGGGTGGGACAGGTGCAGGTGAAGGGTGGTGTGGGGCAGGGCAGCAGGAAGCGGGGTGTGGGTGAGTTGCTGTGCTGTCCTTTGCAGGCAGGAGGAGGGAATCAAGCGCAGCCCAGCCGGCGGCCTACCAACCCCACAAATGAGCGGGGCACCCCCCGGCTCACTTGTATGCGTTGTGCAGCCGCGCATAGGCTGCCGAGTAGCCCGCCGCCGCATGCTCCTCCTCGCCGCCGCCCTCCTCCGCCGCCTCCTCGCCGCCGCGCGCGCCGCCGCCCTCCAGGCAGCCCACCAGCGCCGCCAGCAGGCGCCCATCCAGCTCCGCCGCATCGGGGGCCGCCAGCTGCTTGGCCTCGCTGAGCATGCGGGCGGTGGCCACAGCCACCAGCTTGTCCTCGTTGGCTCCAGTGATGGAGGGCATGGCGGGCAGCCAGACCTGCAGCAACACACCGCGACCAGCGGGGAGGCACAGCAGGCGGCGCTGTTGGCGAGGGGCCGGCTTCGCAGCTGTGCAGCACTGCTGCAGGATGCCGGTGCTCCTGGCAGCCTTGAGGCTCCGCAGCCATCCCACCCAGCCGCCTCCCCCGCCCGTACCCCCCACCCACCCACCGTCTGCATGATCATGAGCATCAGCCCCGGCTGCACGCCGTCGATGCTGTCGGCCACCAGCTGGGCGCCCCGCTTGGCCACAAACAGCGCCAGGAAGAGGAGGAGGGAGCGGGTGAACTTGGCGGTGCGGGACGACTGCAGGCGGCTGAACAGCAGCTGCCAGATGGTGGGCATGTACTGCAGGGAAGGGCGGCGGGCAGGCAGGCAGGAGGGGGGCGGCAAAGCGATCGTCATGCTGAGCTGGGGTCAAGCGGGATGACGCATCTGCAGCGCTGTCTGCCCACCTCCTCTGCACCACGCATGCTGCTTGCAAGGTGATTGCCTGCCTGCTTTCTCGCCCCGCGAGCCCTGCCCCACTCCCACCTGCGCCATGACTGCCTGGTAGTCCAGGCTCTCCACCAGCGTGCCCAGGATGTTGAAGCCCTCGTGGTCGTGCGCCCGGCTGGCAATCAGCTTCTGGAACACGCCCAGCACCGCCTGCAGGGGCAGGGGGGCGGCAAGCAGCAGCCCGGTTGCCTGGGGCGCACGGCACGGCAGCTTGAGGCTGGCGCTTAAGTGCAAGCACCACCGGGCACCTCCACACACGCGGCTGCCCTCACACCCACTCCCCCCGCCCACCCACAGACCCAGCCCCCCGCGGCACCTGCAGGTATCCTCGCGCCACGACATCGCTGCCGGCGCGTGCCAGGTAGGCTTGCAGCAGGCGCACGAGGGCGGGCACGTTGCCGCTGCGCTCCCAGAAGGTGGGGGTGAGGAGCGGGGGGAAGATGGCGTGGTAGGCGTCGGGGACGGGCACGCCCGGGGGGCGCACCTCCAGGAGCTGGGCAAAGATCTGGAACACGTAGCTGCAGGGGCAGGGGGGGAAGGTGGGTGCGGTACCATGTCGAGAAAGAAAGAAAGAAAGAAAGAAAGAAAGAAAGAAAGAAAGAAAGAAAGAAAGAAAGAATGAAAGAAAGAAGGAAAGAAAGAAAGAAAG